GAAAATGAGAAATAATCAGGAGGTGTAATGGAGAATATAAGATTGCGACATTTCTTAAGTATTCGACAATATTCCAAAAATTCAAATCGTTGTGATTAACTAACTGAGAAAACAATTAGAACATATTCAGCGACAAGGCAAAGATTGAAAACAAAAGTAGAACAATGTATTTGTTACTCTCTCTGTAAAAGATCATATTTTAAATTTAAAAAATATTTAAAATGTTTTTCTAAGTACTTTATTTTATACGATGTTTGTCTCTAAACTTATTCTGTAAATCTCTTAAAGTGAAATCTCTAAAAGACTGAAAATTGGGTCAGTCTTTAAAAAAGATTGAAAATATTTTTACCCAAGAAAAAAATTTTTTTAGAATGAGATGTTACTCGTTTGAAGTGAGATTTACTCAAACAAGAAATAAAATAAAATCACACTCCCTCCTTTAAAATAAAATTTTGTTCCTTGAAGAGAATCTCATTCCAAAAAAATAAAAATCTGCTATTCTTTTTAAAAAACTAACTCAATTTTCACCATAAAAGATTTAAAGGGCATGAACTGCACTATATATAACTTTATCGTAACTATATTTACTTTTTTATCGTTTAAAATATGTACTTTGATTGGCGAAGTTTATCATGTATCAGCTTGAAATCGTCGTGAAGTTTGTTATTTTAGAATTTTATTTTTTAATTAATGATGAAAGGGTTGTATACATTGCAACTGGAATGATATTCAATTTAAAGCTCGAATAATAAAGTATTGTAATCCGAGAAGCTTCAGTAACAGTAATTTATGTCGCTTTGTTTACTATATTACACAGATCGCACATTTACTTTTCACTACGCAGATGAATGCATGTTGCGGATGATCAGGAAACGGAAACATCTCTGATATTACATTATTAACGAAACAACACACTACTAGCTGAAAAGGCATTCTGATCGCATGCAGTCATGAAATGTACAATGGCATGCGATGCATCGGATAATAAAACTGATATATCTGTTTTAGAATAACAAAATAAATATATGAAGTTATAATATAATATATAGCACAAATCTATTTCTTCATTTATCTCATCATAAAACAATTCTTTTATACATAATATAGTTTTAATTGTCCAAATTATGTTTTATCTCACATAATAATTTTTAAAAAATTATCTATGTTCAAAATTTAACTGACACACTGGAAGAGTTGACATAATTTTCTGCATTATTTGCATATCACATCTTTATATAAATTTCCTAAATGTATAACAATATTAAACATATATTATTATAATATTTACGATAATTTTACATTTAGACGTGCAAAGTACTGACAAAAACTGCTAAGATGTATTGAGTTATTTTGTAACAGTGAGCAACGGAAATATCTGAGAAGTCATACAAGATTAAACGAATACAAAACTTGCACAAGTTTCAGCAATATCGGATTATGTAGGATTTCACTGATAAACTCCGACGCGGCGCGGCGCCTTGACAGTAAAGCCAGGCACAATCAATCATTAAAAACAGAGGCAGTTGTAACTTACAATGCTAATGAATGTCTTATAGATAAAAGCGCATTTTCCCAGGCGACAGACGTACAATGAAATATATTCTGCAACTCGGAGATACAGTAACCCGTCAGTACGCTTTTCTACCGTCTCTCTGGATAATATATTCATCTTTGAATTAGAAATTAGACATAAGAATATTCTAATATTATCTAGTACTTCATGAATATTAATATTATATTATAATATATATTTTTATATAATAATATTCTATTATTTTATTAATGTAATCTCTTGTTTGTTCAAAAGAACTGATTAGTTTTATTAATAACTGTGATGATATTATATCAGTAATTGATAAAATAACATTAGTTACAGTGTAGTTAAACAGTTTATTGGAACACTAATTAGTTCATTTTCTTAAGGGGGATTCTATTAATATCAGTATTTTTTTTTTAATATATTGTATTTTACATCATGAAGAATATGCTTGTTCAATGTCCGACAGACACGTATTTTGTACATATTGCGCTCATGTCAACACATCTCGCATCCAGAATAGAAAAATAAGTAAATTTGAAAGACGAATCTTAATTATAGTAGGAAATAATTACGAACGAAGGTAATGCGACTTCCTGTTAACGATTTGCAGTCTATATCTAACGGATGTGAAGATGTATTTGATATAATTTCCATTCGGATGACAATTATTGAAATTTCCGGAATTTCGTGAAGGTCTGATTCAGCTACGAAGTACTACTAAATTTATGATAATATATTGCCGTTACAGGTATAACGGAAACCATGCGGTAACTCCATCAGCGAAATTAATATGTAAATTTCCCACATTTGAGCAGTGAAACCGACTCGCGTTAAATATTACATATCTAATTCACTCTGGAAAATTGTGACTCAAGTTGCAAGAAAAATATGTATTGTACGTTATAAGCTCACAATGCGTGATTCCTTGATTTTTTCGAATAAATATATTTAAAAATAAAAAATTGTATGGTTTGATGAAAAAAGAAATATTATGATTTCTTAATATCACACGTATTTGAACAGAATGGTAGATATTTCTTTTATTTATCTTATTAATCACCCATAAAATGATATTTGTAATGTCAAAAATGTACAAAAATTTAAATGTATAAATCTAATAATACTCGCACGTTTATAAAACTAATGTTGTTTTATTTCAATATCTATTTAATCACAAAATAATACACGTCTAAAAACGTCAAAGAGATAAAGCGAAGGGTATATAGAAGGATTAAGCGAAGCGCGCGGAGATGCTTCACAAAAGAAAGCTTTTCTTGTTAATGTAGTTAGTGACTAATGTAAAGAAAATTTAGACATTTCTGCCACTAGCGATTGCATTGCAACTGCCCCTCTCTCTCTCTCTCTTTTTCTACGAAACTCTGATTTTGCGATAATAAAATAAATATTACTGTATAACGAACTTCGAGAAAATTCACAATCTACAGTAAACATACGGTGTAACTGCGTTTAAATGAATATCGAATTACGCGAAAATGAATTGTTTATCACTCACTGTGAAAAATACGAAATAAGCATCAAATTAATCAGAACTTAAAAAGATACATATAATCCAAGATAATCGATATTAATTTCGCAAATACTGATTAATTATAATGTTGCTTTATAACTATATTGCTACTTTACATTTTCATTTGTTTAGATCATTCAGAGCCGGTTGTTCCATCTTCGAATAAATTATGAACTATGTGGTAATTTACCTAATGAATAAAAGAAAGAGCAAAAAAGAAAGAAAAAAAGAACGATAGCGAGAGAGAAAAAGCGAATAAGTTACAATTTACCGAAAGATAGAATACTTAGCCAAAAAGAAGCTCTGCGTGGCTAACAGTATAAGCCAGAGCCAAATATCAGTTTTTGGATCAATTAAGAGAAATAAATTTATTTTCGGTCAAAGCTGATCTTTGTGTTTTAAATATCTCAATGTGAATTATTTACATACATATTAGGTGTTGGAATTAATTCGTAGCGTTTTTTAATGAAAGAATGTTATTTATTTCACATGAGCATTAAAAAATACATTAATGAAAGTACTTCCCATCACTTGTAAAACGCTACGAATTAATTCCAACACCTAATATATAATTCTACAAAACGCTGAAATCTTTTCAATCTTGAAACGCAAACGTGAACGGAACTAAAGTAATATCACATATTAAATTGACAAAGCAATTTAATAATATTGATATTATTAATAATTTGATGCTTATACATATAAACGTCTTAAAAACTATGAATAATTTATTTCAAATGAAATATTTAATATATTTAAACACTAGATCTATTTTGATCAAAAATACATTTATTTTTCTTAATTAATATATTCTCGTTGATTTAATTTCGAATTATAACTGCTCAGTTCTTGGAGTTAGGAAACATGTATACGTGACTTGAAGAACAGCTCAAAATCTTCGCAAACGGAATCAGAAGACTTGTGGATTGTTACACAAAATATGTTTAAAAGCGATACTAAGAAGATATATATATATATATATTTAAAATGTACATATATTTTGCTGACGTGTATTGTACGTAAGAAATAAATTCATTTTACTTTCCAATTTCTCGTTTTTCATTAAATCTTTAATATATTTTTGTATTAAGTTTTAATGTTAATTAATATACAAATTACATTATTGAGAAGCAATATAAAATGTCTTAATATATTCGGAAACATATTACAATTGATTGTAGTGCTGGCTAATTTGAAATATTAAAATGTATGTAAATACATCTCTCACATTTAGTATCATAATATTTCTGATATAATTACGAAAATTAGAATTCGCAAATGAATTAATTATCGTTCATAAATTATACATATTGTACTCTGCTAACCAAGCTTCCAAATATATTGCAACCGCATAAATAGTATTGTAATAACAGATTTCACCGTGATAAAACACGAAAATTCGAAATACGACAAATTGAAATGTAGAACGAGAAAGCTCGTGATTAATTTGTCATTTATATATTCCGACGGCTACAAACTGTAATTGCACAAGATATATGCAAGTTTTAATAGACAGTAATTTCAATTCCATAATGAACGCTCAGAATATTTTTGATAATTGGTGGACATAATAAATTAACACCTGCAGTACTGATAAGCCAACGGCATATAAATGTTGCTGTATTTTAATTTATCTTTTAAATAAATCGAGAAAAGCAAATGTTATTAAGTATATATCTGTCGTATAATATTTTATGTCATTTAAGTAACATATTTCAAGCAACATTTTTAATTGTATTTTTTTCTCTTTAATACAATTATACTTCCAAAATTTACGTAATCCGAATATATCATCACATTAACTTTCTTTTTTTTTTTATTTAAAAATTCACTTCAGCAATTCACTGTAAAGACTTTGATCTCTTTTAAATTTCTAATTTCAGCTATGATTTCTGTGATTGTACATTTCGTCACTCATCTGTGGCTTTCTAGGTCGTTGATAATTAACAGTAGAGGTTCAACCTAGGCGCATTAACGTCACACGATTAAGAAGCGACACCAATGATAATGCTAGGCTCAGAACAACGGCAGTGAAAGATGGTGGACAAAGAAGAGCTGAGAATAACGAAGGCGAAGGCCCCACCACCACCGCTGAATCTCAGTGAGGCGATCGAGGATGAAGAGCTGAACCAAAAGACTGCTAGAAGTGAGTAAAGTACCGCATCTGCCTCATACAAAATGTGCTACGAAGCGTGCAAAGCTGTCTCGGCAATCCTAAGTGAAATGTGAATATATGAGAAGTGAAAAATGGATTTCACGTTCTCCATTTCCCAAGATTTACGGGAAAACCGGAAAAACCACTCATACGTTTAAAGTATTGAATTTCTTTTAACTAATTGATTCTTTCGCAATTTCCGCTTTCCTCAAATAAAATAAATTTTTTGTTTTTACGATGCAATACTATATAATAATTTATTATATCATCAAAACAGCAGAGGGCTTTATTATAAATGAAATAAATATACAAATGTATTTATATATTTATTGTTTGATGAACTCCTTAATACAGAAATGATAATTGCAGTATATAATATTATATGAAGATCATTTTAATCACTTTCTTAAGTACATAGATAAGATAAAGATAATTTCTTTGAAGCAACTGCCGTGTATATTTTTCGCTATGCTTGGTCCGTTTATTTAAAAAAAAGCAAGAGAAAGAGAAAAGAAAAAGGAAATTAATAAATAACACTTTTGCGTAATTAAAAAATTTTTTTCTGGTTTGCTTTTGTAAATTATACAGTCTATTGACATGCAGTCGCGCGAAAATAAAAAGATATTTAATTTGCATCGGACATTTGCGAAATCAACCATTCAACTAATTAACGATACAGTGTGCACACTCCCGTATTTCATCCCCACTTTTCTTCATTTTACTTTAATTGCACATACGGTCGATATCTGTGCGGACCGAAATTTTCCACAAAAACAATGTGCGCTAGGTAACAACAGCATGTGCTACTACGTGACTGTTCAAAGTTAAAATAAAAAACCACTAACGCATACAAGCGAATTAATTGAATCCATATTATTTCGCGTGTCTCGTTTAAGATCATACTTTCGCAAAAACCGTTACAAAGTAGTTGAAAAATTAATCTGCATCTATGTTGTATAAAAAATACGATTCAATATATATTTTATAAAACCAATATAAAAAAAGTTAAAAAATAGAGAGAGAGAGAGAGAGAGAGAGAGAGAGAGAGAGAGATCTCTAGATCTATATTATATAGGTACAGAAAAAATGGTTTGACGTATTTCATAAAAAAAATATTATAAAGGGATCGAAAAACGTTAAAATTAAGCTGGAAAAGTCAGTTGATGTATTTTTTTTTATATAAAGATTAAAATAAAATAATTATTTTATAATAATTTTATTTCAAAAATTGATGTAATAATATTGCAAAACAATTCATATATTTTAATTGTGCAATTATATAAATTATATTTTATAAATATTATGTACATGAATACATAATTTATTTTACCTTTTTTCTTCATTATGTTTTTTGTCAGTTCTTAAGAATGATCTTCTTCTACACGAAGCTGTGATAAAGAACGAAGCGGACACTGTTCGTAAAGTACTTAAGGAGACTGTCGACGTAGATTCCAGAAATAACGTAAGTCATTAAAAATACTTCAAAGAAAAATACACAGAATGCTATTCAATTTAACGTCTACTTTATTTTTGATAAATTTAGTGTCATTAAGAGCAACAAGCGCTTCTAATATTTATTATTAAAATCTCTCTTAGTATGGTCGCGCTCCGATTCATTGGGCAGCATCTAGAGGAAACACAGAAATTATTGAAATGTTAATACAAGCCAAGTGCGATATCGAAGCGAGAGATAAGGTATGGTATATGTTTTCTTTTTCTTTTTTTAATTAGTCTATTAAAAAGGGGGAGCTTCACTAAATAACTCTAAATTGAGACAACAAAATAAAACACAAACATTTCCTAAAAAAGAAAAACTCTTACACGCAAAAATAAAGAGTCTTTAAATTTAATATCGTTGAGTGCTTCCACATAGGAAATTAATGTAAACTTAGGGACTGATAAATGGTTACTTTATTATACATTATATGTTAATACGTTTTTGGAGCGACACTTCTTTCGGAATTTAATCTAGAGAGAGAGAGACGACGACCGACTTGATGAAATTCTTCGTCGAACATTAATTTCCCGACTGTTCATTTCTCTTTCAAGTATGGAATGCGACCCTTGCATATGGCCGCTCAACACGGTCACCGAGATGCGGTGAAGATGCTGATCAATGCCGGAGCAAATGTATCAGCAGTTAACAAGGTAATCCTTTATTAAACATTTCATACGAAAGTAAATTCAAGCTTTTCCTTGAGATGAAATTTACGACTTCGTAAGTGTCGCGACTCTACGAAATTTGTTAAGCATACGAAACTTGCGCGAAATATTGCGAAAATAGTCGCGTGAAGAAAACTTCATTTAGATAACAAGGAAACTTAGTTCAAATAATTTTCAAAAAAATTTTATCCAACAAAAATTTGCAGAACATGCTGTGCAGGATTAAATCGTACGTTTAATTGGAGTTTATTGATCGCGGATATTGTAGAAAAAGGAAATATTGAAACAGAAATCTCACGAATGTCGTGGAAAAAAGTGAAATAAGTCGTCGGGAAACCGCGGCAGAGTTGAAATCAATAACGTGTCAATATTGATATTGGCATCGGTCTTAAATAATAGGCGAGCGCTTTCATCATGCCCCCTCGGCGCGTCGTATATAGCATTTTATCACGCATGTACCGATACGAAGAAAATGAGAGACGTGAATTATAAGAAAGAACCGACACGCACGAAGGCAACAGTGGTCCATATTTTCCTTTGCGGATTGAAATTGTGAGGCAACATTACGGTGTAAAAATCGCAACTTTGCCTCCGCGAAAATTCTCCTTTTATAACATCATAAAAATTATTTTTTTCTTTCTGTTTAGAAACAACACACCCTTTTAATGTGCGGCGCTCGTGGCAGCAACGTCGCCGTAGTGGAGTACTTGGCGGATGCAGTGGAATCGTTAAACGGTGAGGCAACTGACTCCACTGGGGCGACTGCTCTTCATCATGCAGCCATCACCGGACATCCGGCGGTAATCACAGCGCTTGCAAACATCCCGCGGATCGTGCTGGACACCACGGACAAGGTAAGCAAAAATGTTCCCTCATTTTAGTACGTCACTTCTACATGAACACGCTGGTACATTCGCATTACATTTCGCAGAAAAAATAATTTAGATGTGTAAAGGAGATTCTTTTTATTCCATCTCTTTCTAACAGAAAATCATATTATTTTATTGATTTCTGCAGAAACTACGGAAACAAGCTTTCAAAAATTTCACTGTATAAAGATATCATAAAGGAAATATAGATTTCATTCAAAAATAAAAGATGGATTCTACGCGACATCAAAGAAACTCAAGAAGTCACGGTAACTACTTCGATAGTTGTATTGTTACTAAAATGTGGCATGCACACATGTGTATAAATATATTCATAGTTCGAATTACATTTAATCATAATCGTCAAAGAAAAGATACTTTCCATGATTCTTATATTAATTAAATAAACAAATAACATAATAAATGACAATTAATGTTTGTCTCTCGTTACAAGATTGGATGATATATCAATGTACGCATCACGTGCATATCGAAATGGACCAGATATGTCCTTGCGTATATACGGGCGTATTTCGACCTTAGTTTCTCGAATTTCACGTTGCAATTTGCAATGAGATATTCCACACTCGGAAATCTGATTCCCACCATTTCGCCCAGATTCGGTGTATATATACATACATGTACAGTACATATAAGATATATGCATGTATATATGTCCACATATATGTACATACCCATACAGCACCAAACTTTTAAAAACGTTCATAGAACATTTTAAAAATGTACAAATATTCTTAGAACGTTCATATACATTCTATGTCGTGTGCTATCTGTATATAAATATATACATATATATATATATATATAGATATATACATATATTACGCATATCTTAAAGGACACTTGTCTATCCATTAACATCTTGGTCGCCCGAACTTCTCTTGCGAAAGTTCTCTTACGTAACAACCAGTCAAAAGTGTTTCTACGTAGGAAAATTAGTTATGCGATCGCAACTGTGTGTACAGTTCGCTCTCATAAATTATTAATTATTTGTCTCTCTCAGAAAATATTTGCATACATGAATTATGCGCCATTTTATGCATCCCAACCTTCGCTTGAGAATTACAGGCTAATTGCCTATAACAATATTTTAAAGCATAATTTCGCCTTTAAAAGCAGTAATTATTTATAAAATAATGTAGAGATGCATTTAATGTAAATGCAACGCTTTTAACGAAATTATATAATTCACACGCGAGTTGAAAATAAGATATTTGTTTGATTTAACTCAAATGACGGTCAATTAGTATTCAATACAGCGTCCTATTAGCCGTAACGTTCAAACAAATAAAAATTCATTATCTTTTAACTGTAACATTAATTCAATCCGTATCCAGCAGAAATCGTATATAAAGCGGATTTCGGAGAGAGAAAATCCTCTTTCTGGAATCAGTTATCACTTGACAACTCGTTTTTCCGATAAATCATTCGTGCAATCAATCCTCGCATGATCTCTCTCTCTCTCTCTCTCCCCCCTCCTTCCCCCTCTTCCTCTCCCTCTTCTCGCCATTTCCTGGATACGGATCTCCAATGATTTTTATTCCTACGCGTCCCGCAACGACGATAAGCATCTGTCTACAATCCGGGATCAGGCTTGACGTGTGACCCGGGCACTCTCTGGAACATCTCAAGCTGCTTTCCAGCAGAGAATATTGTTATAGCATCCTTATAAGCACGTTGGGATATGCTTAAAAGCCTTGTTGATCCTGACCCTTACATCGACAATGTGTGATATATAAATATCAAAAAACGAAGCTCGCGATGAGTGGAAAGGAAATTCTTTCGAGATATATTTCGTTCAGAGGCTGTAACCAAGCAACTGTCATGTATCTAATAAAAATTAACGATCGAAGCCAAGCTTTAACAGAATTGATAAATTATATTAAATTAAATTGTATCATTATTTGTTTATGCTATTATTACGATATATTAAATCTCTCTCGCGCAAAGATATAAATCTCTCTCTCTCTCTCTCTCTCTCTCTCTCTCTCGCATTTTAATAATTAATAATTAAAATTAAATATCACGTATCTGAAAAACAGTGAAAACGCATCAAAAATTGTATAAGAATAATAGCCACAGTGACTCGGTCATGGAGCAGTGCAGTATCGATCGCGGGGCGAATGAAGACACAAAAGAGGATATTTATAATTTATCGACAGGAACAATCGACCGTCCGTTTAACGCGCGTGGCGGTAAGAGGAACCGTTCGGATTTCCGCATGTGTAGTATATATATATGTATATATATATATATATATATATATATGAGCGCATCTCTCTCTCTCTCTCTCTCTCTCTCTCTCTTGATTCAAATCCTGGGAAAATGGGTCTCTCTCGCTCTCTCTTTCTCTTTCGCTCCCGGTGTCGACTGCCATAGTGTCCTTATCGAGAGGCAAGCACAATCCCCTGAGGGCTTCCGCGACTGTGAAACTCGACCAATCGCCAGCTTGAGTACATTTTACGGGAGCCTTTGTAAACAAATCCTCACTCCTCCCCGTTTCCTGGATACTCTTGCTTTCTCATTCAATTTACTCGCGTATCCCTTCTCGATTTTCCTCGTTGCCGCGTACGGAATTCTAATTTCCCTGAGATAGGCGCGGCGTGGTGCTCCGTCTTTATATGCCACGCAAGTTGCCGCGTATCGGTTAATTATTTTTGGATTATCAGTTACTTCCATCCCTCCAAAAATATTGATGTAATGCCGATTAAAAAAAAACGTAGAATCTATTAGGATAATTGTGAATAATGATAAGCGCGTATTAATATTTTCTATAAATAATGCAATTAATTAATCTCTATTTGTATTTCTAATTTTATGATATCTATTAAGCTATTTTCACAAAATCAATAAGATTGTTAGATGTCGTTATAGATAATTTGTAATGATATAAATTTGTATTAGGTTCCGATGTTGCACAATGTTAGATCATAAGTGTAACAAATAGAATGGATAATCTAACAGAAAAAAACAAATCAGTCTTGAAATTGAGACTATTATATCTAGAATTTTTAAACAGCTGTGTTTAACATCCTGTCATTGCCTAAAGTTTGTAAAATGTAATAATCATAGATCACGAAATTTACGAAAAATATTACTCTTAAATTTTATGATTTGCATTCGTTGAATAAACATTCAAAACAAGAAAAATTAAAATAACATGTTTTTCTAACATTCACTGCAAAATGTATAGAGAATATATTGTATAAAAATGTTGTATTTTCTTTTACGCAAATATTATTGTTCAATCGAAAGCTCCAAGTAATTTTCAGAAAATTTTTTTTATTTACATTCAAAAATAATATAATTGATGTGCATGCATAAAAAGAACTTTTATTAAAATATCTAAAAATTTAGCTAACTACAAATCTGAAAACAATTGTATTGGACTATTAAAATAATTATTGAACTATTAAAGTAATTATGTAGAAAAATCAAGCGTGAGTAATATTATAAAAATTGTGACATTCTAGCGATCTTATCTTAAGAGTTCTACATATACCTGATTACGTCCTTCAATAGTCCAATAAAATTATTTTCAAATCTGTGTCTGATTAAATTTTCAATATTTTAGCATACTATTTACTTATGTAAGTATCAATAATGCATCATGAGATTTATATCGTAAATACGAGAAAATTGTGATAATCGCGTATTTTTTTATAATGAATATACATAGTGAAAGTCTCAAGCACTAATTGATTTTCCTAAATCTGGATTTATTTCCAGAAAGGACAAACACCGCTGCACTGTGCCTGCGCCAAAGAGCACTTGGACGCGGTTGAAGTCCTTATAGGATTAGGGGCGAATGTAGATGCCCAGGATAACGATGGCAATACCCCACTTCACGTAGCTACTAGAACGAGGCACACAGGAATCGCGCAATTATTATTGAAGGCCGGAGCGAACACCGAACTAATTGACGCGGTAAATTGAATAGTTGAGCGATTACATCTACTTAACGAAGATGAAGGAAAAACAACTTAATAGGATAAACGAAATTACTTATAAACCCATATTAATAGCAATTAAACATTAATATTAATTTTTTGGAATAACTTAAAAATTTAGAATAACTCCTACAGCGAATTTGTATTTTTTTACTCGGCGTAATTTCTTCATATTCGTTTAAATGAACTGATATAATTCGCAGAAATATCGTATAACAACGGATCATTATTTTATATCGCATATTTCATATTACAATCATTATTTCATACGATTAATCTATATCAACTATCTCTCCAGGAGGGTTTTACTCCCCTTCATGTCGCCGCAAGTCAAGGATGCAAAGGAATACTCGACTCCATGATTCAACACGGGGCCGATCTTAACAAGCAGTGTAAGGTACAGATATATCTCGGTATTTTCAAATATAATCCGTGCCGAGACTACCGTATGCACGACAACGAATAACAATATTTTGTCGATACATTATTATGCATAGAAATATCTCGACATTCGATCGCAAGCATGCAATCGCAATGCAATGAATAAAATTAATTGGCGGGAAGAAAAAGGGACGCAAAAGAATATCTAAAGAATATCTCCGGGACAAAAGAATATATTGCACAAATTGTACGAATTTCCTTCATTATCTATTGCAGAACGGTAATACATCTTTACATCTGGCCTGCCAAAACAACGAAGTAGAAACGGTAGAGATATTAATTAACAAAGGCGTCGATCTCAATTGTTTGAATCTGGTATGTAAAACTACATTGTGTGTACTAATAACATTGGCCAAAATTTTATGTTTCTTATATTAAATTGAGTTGTTAAGGTGTTTCTTATAGTATTTTTTGCGCTGATTTCATATATGTTTGTCAAATTTATAACAGCAGAATTTTGAAGCAACATGAATTTGAAAATTATTTTATTTTTTTATCTCTTCTGCTTAGGTAAATAAATAATTTATAGAGAATAATTATAATTGAATTTAATATAATTTTTTATTCATTAAAAGGCTTCAAATAAAAATAAATTATTTTAATTAACAAAAAAATCTTACAAAACGAGCAATTGAAAATGTATAAGTATTTAAAAAGAGATATATCAGTTACAAAAAATTAAAGCTCAGAGGATAAGTTCTAATCTCCTTTCCAAAATCAACATCAGAAAATACATAAAAATCAGCCAAAATTACTAATTTACCAAAATCGTTATCAACCCGTATAATCATCGTAAGATTGCATAGCTTGTTACTGCAAGCAATATTACACTTGCCAATCTTCAGGCTGAAATTAAAATTTTTACAACTATATACTATATCGGAAAACTTACAATAAGAATTGTTTGATTTTTCCATTTTCTATCAATTTGCTTTAGAGGCTTCAATCGTCCATACATATCGCAGCTGAGATGGGACATACCGATATTTGCGAATTACTTCTTGCGGCAGGCGCAAATATTGAACAAAAAGAACAGGTAAATACATCTATATAGTTTAGAGATAAAATTGGATATTATCGTGTTATATCCTTTGACGATATAATTAACCGAATCCGTTTGTGTTCCATATAAACCATATTATCGACGCTTGACTAAATTTATGACCATTGCCATGTTATCAATTAAATTGCCATGAATTTAGAGCTTGCACTATGGTAGAATTATAACAATATAATCAAGCACAAATTATTCAATAGTTAATTAAATTTTATTCATAAATTAATTACTGAATTCATTTAATAATTTAAAGCGCAATTTTTGTAACATGAAAGAAAGTTCAAGAGATGCGAGAACTAATTAAAAAGAGAATCTAATTAAATCTTCGTAAAATGATGAAATATGTTATAAATACTAACAAGGGTAACTGTTAAATATTGCTTGTATTACATTCTTTCATAATATGCTTAATTAAAAGATCTGCTTTAATGGTGACCTCCTACATTGCTTTAAATCCAATCAAGATAACGGTTCATTACCGCAAGTTTATTAGGAATCAAGATTATTCCACATGAACAAATTAAACTAATATCGACAAGTTAATTATGAAAATGTTAATGAAAATTAATGAGAGTATTTATACTCGCAAAATAACGCAATTTTAATGACTTGTGTCTTAATATGTAGTAAATGCGAAAAATATTTATACAAAGAAGTTTTTTAAACTTTTAAAAACCTTATTTAAACTTTTAAAATTTTTTTAAAATCTTATTTTTAAAAAGTAAAATTAAGCAATTTATTAACAAAGAATAAAATAGACCATATTTCTTAAAATCATTTTATTTAAAAAGATGTGTAATAATCAAATATATATATATATATAAAATTTAAAAAAATATATATATATAATTTTTTAAATATATTATTTTAAAAATAAGCAAAAATAAAAATTGTTTAGATATACAAATAGTATTCGTACAGTTGAAAAATTTAGCTTTTACAATGAGCAAACACATGAAACTCTTTTACTTATATTAGGACAAAATGTATTCATTTACGTACTTTTTGCATTTTCTGTATATTTTATTTCTTGCAACTTTATTTTGTACAAGCGCTACGAAGAATGCTATAAAAGATTCAATCTTAAGACACAGCTCTAATAATATAACATCCCACTCTTGATTAACACATTGGACGAAAAGTCTGTTGCGCGTGCACAATACGAGAGGAACGTCGATTCTGTCGACAATGACACGTGCCACGAGAAATTGACTCGCGCTATTTGCAGAAAGCTTCAAACGTCTTATTCCTGATCCAGAGTGCTACGGTTAACGCGATATGGGTGTCGGATTGACGGCAACCGTTGCAAACTTGATAATAAAGTTAAACCGAAGTTTATCCTGACATTTGCAGAGCGGCCGAACACCACTTTACATTGCGGCAAGGGGCAGTTTCACAGCCATCGTCGACATGATCATTAAGACCGCTAGATTAGATTATCCGACCCCGGTAGGTACACATCCACCGTAGTTACAAGAATTTCGCTTAACGTTGATCGTCTTCCCTTTCACCTCATTTCTGGTAGACGCCGCAAACAAGATGATAAATATGTGATAAAATGCAGAATATGTGATATTAACTGCAGTATCTCGTATATTTCAATCGTAAAAATTGTTAATTTTTCAATTTAAATTTGTTCAGATTGTTTATGACATTTATGTTGCATTAATTGTTCTATAAAAATTTTATATTGCTTCAAATATTGTTCCAGCAAAAGGCACAAAATTTGTGCGAGTCTAAATTTTGAAACAAAAAAACAAATACGTGTTTTTAGTCATTATTCATACAGTATGAATCAACAATATTATAACAATATTATTAACGTTAGCAATATATATTGCGATAACATTGTAATATTGTAGCAATATTGTTACAAATTTTTGTACTGCATGAATACATTCTACTTGTTCTATATATGTTAAATTAAAATCAGCTAAGAAAATTGGAGCCAAGAACAAAAAATTAGATTTAAGGAGATTTCAAATTCTAACAAGGAGGTTCGAGAGTTGACTCCGGCACGAAGGTGGTGGAGGGAAGGATCGCGTGGTGGCAGCATCTCCAGCAATAATGGTCGCCTCTCGGAGCAAATCCGATCCATTCTTTGGAAGTTGGCCTACAAGCAACTTGCCCCTGAAGATTGGAAAAAATTAGCTGTTCACTGGGCCTTCACTCCTGAACAGATCAGAGCTATCGAACATCAGTATACGGGTAAATCGATGTTATGTAATATTAGTAATATTAGTCTCTCATTGCAATTTATTTACGTTTTTTCAGAGAAATATCAAAATTATTTGTTTAGTTTCATATATATCGAAATTTCATGCATATCAGAAAGAAAGGGATTGATTGGTTCATTTTTGTATGCATTATGTGTTATACACATTCCGTGCTCCCGTTCTTTATAAATATGCATTCATACAACATAAAATAAAAATGACAACATAAGATAAAAAAAAAGTTAAAATTAACTAGTAATTAGTTAATAAGATAAAAGTTAAATTAAAAATTAAAAAATTAACAGCTTTTAACTTAATTTAGTTACTCTTAAATTTTAATTTATTAACTTTTTCCTTTTTTAGTTAAAATTCTTCTTATCTATAAACATCTTTATATGGAAAAGATTATTTACATAGATAAAATACTAAACATACTAAACATCAATTTTTTATTATACAACAAATATCTTTAATATTTCGTATGATTTATAAAAAAATAAAATATTAAATTAATCTGATGATTTATTATACTGTAATTATTTTATTATTTAAAGCAATGTGATTTGAAAAAAATTAGAATATTCTGATTCAATAAAAATAACGTTTTCCAAATTAACTTTATTCGATCTTAACGTAACTTTAACTGAATTTTTATCCAACTTTTAACTTTTATATATATATATATATATATATATATTAATTTTATAATTCATTAACTTTAACTTAATTTATTAAAAAAAAAACATTTATTTACTCAATCTTGCGTAAAATTAATTACGGATTATACGTGCGAATTTGTACCTCAATGTTCCTATAGTGCGTCTAGAGCAGCCTTATGAAAAGGACGATAAAGCTCCAATTATAGGTCCCGCGAGTTTCAAGGAGCACGGATTTCGAATGTTAATGATCTGGGCCTCCGGATTAAATCCAGACGTGTCACTGATAAAAGAGCTCTGTGAAGCTTTATCAGCGGTGGACAAGAAAGCAATTGCTGGTATATATTTATATATAAATCCGGTATACATTCTATTCCGGTATATTTATACGTACAGCATTTATAAATCCGTTTCTTATTACTATTGTTATCCAATTGTTATCTCAATAAACTCCTTACTACGCGCAGTAAAAATATCCCTTATTCGCAAGGATAGCAATGGATTACAGCGCGGCTGACGTTTATAGAGATAACAATAACAATCGTAATATATAAGATTGAATTTCATATAGAATAGAACTTTCTGCAATGAGATTCTATTTGCTTTCACTCATTTGCAGATTCCATTCGTAAACAAATGGAGCAAGGAGATGATGGTAAGGTAAAATCGAAAGGGCAACGATGTCATAAATGCTCCATTGCGTGAATAGCTACAAGTGCCAAGTTTACACGCAAATTCTACACACATATGAGAATGTAATCTGAATGAAAATTGTAACTTACGTAAGACGTAATAGTTGTTGTCGAAAGCTTACCTGCATTTTAATGAGAAGAGTTCAACGAACTTGGCAAATGCCATTAACGAAGGATTTACGAAAAAAAAATACGTACAATGTTGTATAAATACCTTTTATACCAACAATTCGCAATGTTACGCAAATTCTTAGAACACAAATTACGAGTACAATTTACAGCGCAGGTATAGCTGTCATTATTATTTTGAAAGAACAAGAATTTCTTGATAAAATCAGGTATGTAATTCAACAGTGTATATTAATATACACTAATTTTTTAGTCAAAATTTTGATGTTTAAATCTAACTTAACGTGAATAAGATTTATCTTAAATAAAACTATAAAATAAATTATTGATGTTATTATATATACATAAAATCATGCAATTTGAAAATCCGAAGAAAACGAAATTCATAATAAAATTTGACCAGACGGATTGCATAATCGTATCTTATTGTATTGTAGAAAAATTGATTGAAGATTGTAAGTACATACAGTAGCTTCATTCACTGTAAAATAAAAAAATTCTATGAACCCGCTATATATCATCGCTGGGTTAAATAATATCATTTACCAAATTAAAGATGATAGTGTAAGAGGAATATCATTTATACAACGCGACGACAGTAAAGAAGGTATTTGAATTATATACAAATAATATACAAAAAATAAAATAGGGTAAGTGGTCCAACAATGAACCATGTAAATTTCAGAAGCTTATATTCTTTTTCAATTATTGAATTAAAGATTTGAGTTTTGGCATACAATTTATGAATTTAGTTAGTTGGCTACTATAAACAATAACTTTCAAGTTATTTTTTTATTTTAATCACAATTTCGATTATTTAAAAAATCGGGAAGTGGTTCATAGTGTACAAAGGATATGTACACAATGAACGATGCTATTAATAATAATAAACTACATATTTTACACTGCGAATTATTGGGATTTTTTAGTTTTGCTATATTTAGAAATGTTTATAAAATAGATAATTATAAGATGGTAAGGCCGATCACCGCCGATTTTTCTTTCGTTTTGAGTGAAAACGCGTCAAATGTATATTTTTATTGAGATTTTAGGTGGGGGGGGGGAGCCGTATTCTAAATAATTATTACAATGAATTATTATTTTGAAGGTTATTGTACAAAAGGTTATGTGTGGTCTACAATATACCATGGTTCATTGTTCACTACGTCAAAATGATTCATTGTAGATCTCCTAATCTTTTTCACGATAAACTCCTAAATAATGTGGTGTAAAATAATATAACAGAAGAAGTTGCTTACAGAATAATAAAGCTAAATGTGCACACAAAACTATTGCACAATGAAAAAATGATAGGCATAATAACAAAAACATAAAAAATGCGTAAAGCTACGAAAAAACTTACTTTGCATCGCAAAATTCTTAAAATGTGACATTACATAGCCGTCCTTGGCGCGATCTGTCAGTCGACTGGGGAACCGAGAAGAGGTTCAAATACGAGTCGCTGCATGATAGCAGCATAATTTGATAACGTCGCATTTACGAAATATCACAATAGTTCATAGTGTACTACTCGTTCACTGTTGGACTACCTATCTTATTTAAAACGGAATATTTGAACAATTATATGAAACTAAGCCGTCCTAAGCTAATCTTAAAGCAGACTATCATGATTTCATTTTGATGATTCTTGTATAGAGAAATGCTTCCGTTATTCGTAGGAACAAAAGTACAGTTAGTACACAGAAGCCATCGAAAAAAGCGATACAATTGTAAAATCAAAGTAACAATCGAACGTAAACTCTTCGGAATAATATTAATAACGCATAGATTAAGTGTCAGAATAAATTTTGCAGGGCTTTCGATGTGATAACAGTTTATTAGATTAGATCTCGAATAAAGAATATAATATAAAATCGATAAATAGATATGCGATTATCACACGATTCTCGAAAGAGACAATCTACATATCTGAAACTTACAAATTTAGACTCTTAACTACGAACGACATTATATGTAACTTTATCTTGTATTACGCAAAAATTATATAAACTAAAAATTATGAAATTTTTGATTACATGAAATCAAATGCATAATGATAGATTTGTAAGCAAGAGGAAGCAAATTATCTCCTCTCCATCACATTTAGCTTATATAATTTTATAATATTGATCTTATGTGATTAAAAAATATCAAGAATATTTAAATACGAAAATATTCTTCTTGCATTTTATCTGTCGAACTTTGTTTTTTATAAAATTAAAATAATTATTAACAAAGCGATAATACGAAAGATAATATAGATAAGTATATACTTACCGCACGAGTTAAAAAAAATCATGGACTTCCGAAGTTGCTTTCTGAAAGTACGTTTTAAACAATGTACATATCTTATCTTGATGTAATAAATCGTTGTATTCTATATATCGTCATATTATTGTTGCAAACATATAAATTATAGATGTGTAGAAAAATGTAAGACTTTTATAAAATTAGAACTTGTAATAAGTTGTACTAACAAATAAGTTTTTTAACAATTTTTCAGGAAAAAAGCATCAGTATTTTTCGCGTGTTTCGAAATTACAAACAGAAAACCAAAGAAAATAGGACAAAATAGGATGTCGATTAAGATAATGTGATAATTCATAAATAACTGACAATTCCAAGAGTTTCTATTAAAATGTGAACGTTTATTAATTCATTCGGAATATTAATTACTCTATAAAAGAATGTCGCTAGCTTCTTAGTGTTCACAGTATATAACAAAATACTATAAACAATAGTATAGTATTAGAGTGGTGAATAGTAGAAATGGAGATGGTACTATCAACAGCAGTCGTACCGCGTACATCAACAGTACCGCGACGGATTATTCCATAACTCTTTAATCAATATTACAGACGTTACACAACCGTAACCTAATGTGTGTCTTCCTTCGTTGTTGCGAATCTCCGAGGTCTCTTTCGAAATTTATTTCGCAGAGGTACGTATGCCAGAACGCAGGCTCATCATAAAATATAAGTCAATACGCATCTTATAACGCATTCGGACTCCTACATTTGTGACCTTCTATTTGACAATAGAATGTATTTTATGGTTGTACATGTATAAATGTATCTCCGTATCTATCTAAAACACTACTCTTAGACCACTATCGCAAATTTTAGTAAATACGTTTGGCTTTTTAACCTTATGCTATTTTTTGATGGAGAACAACCCGTGCTAGCTCAATTCGTTATGACGTCTTTGCAATAAATCTTGAAATAAAGGTGAGAGAACAAATGCAGATTCAAACATGCTTTGAAGATATCAAATTAAAATGCATATATTAGATTTTTTGAATTTCTATATTCAATATACTAACGCCTTTTGAAATCAATTTCAAAAAAATAAATACTCTAGTAATATGTATTGCGCAAATAAATACGTTCTCGTTAATAACATCGCAGACGACAGTGTTAATTTTCTTATAAATACAATTTCAAATTTGAGAATCGGAAAAAAAAATTACTTATGAATGCTGAAATTTTTTAAGTGAGTAAACTACATACGAAAAAAAAGGAAAAAGATATCGAGATCATGTCAAATGATCGAGTCATATCTGTGCTCGCAATGAATTAAACTTTACGCGCTTTTTTACTTTTCTGTTACCTCCATAACTCTTACGTCATCCAATCAGTAAATTGAACATGATGTCTAGCAAATAAACTTCCTGCGATAGAAATCGAAAAAAGAAAATATCAAGTTCTATATTCTAACGCTGTCGTCGCGCGCGCGATAAGTATAAAACTGTGGAAAGAACCAAGAAAACACACAAAAGGGAAAAGAAGCGACAATTTGATCGTTCGCAAATGAAAATGAAAAAAACTCGGAAAAGACGGTAGGATAAACACTGTTGCTGAGAATAAACCTAATAATTGGAGACCTCGAGTCGATTTGTCAAGTACAGCACGTAAATAGAAAAAAGATGTTATCCTTTTGAAGTCTTTTAACATGATAAGGTCCTTTAACATGATGGCTTGTTATCCGTTTGACTGATCATTTCCTCATTGTTTTACGACACTTTTCGTTTAAAGATAAAGACGTGTTATTTTATTATTTCTTACACTAATCGATACTTATGCGCAATAAAGTTCCACAACTTAACGTGCATTTCAATCCGCGATTATGCATCGACGTTAATATTCGCAAGCTATTTGGCCTTTTCGCCTGCATCTTGGACCAAATGACGAAGTCGCCCATGTCTGCCGTTTAATTCGAACACGCAGAACATGCAAACGTATATGAGTTTCAAAGTAATGGAAAAAAAAATACAAAGCTGCACAAGTCAATCGCTGTAAGAGTTTTGTTTAAACCTGCTAAAAATTTATTAATGACAGATCATTGATGAGTTCTCACGAGTTATTCATCAACAAATGCATCGCACATGTTTAGATTTAAATTACTCTCTACAGGGAAAAATTGAACTTTTTGTAAAAAAGTTATCGTCAATTATCTGTGCATATAATATGTATTATTATATGTTATATCATTATATTTAATATATATATATATATATATATATATAATCTTTTAGTTATCCAAAATATAAAATTAGAAACTTTTAGAAATTAATCAATAGTAATTATGATGTCGAATCTCAATTGTAAAAGCCGTAGCAGTCTCTTGACTTTATTCAAAAACTCGAACGATGCATTTTAAGTGCACGAAATTCAGGACGAACAGTCAAGTGGTCTAAAATCGATTTCAATTTTGAATCGGAGTTTGCTGCACATACATAAAAGTATCTCCAACGTACGACCTCGCGAGTGGCACCAATCAATGAAGTGTCGTATTAAATTTTAAATTTACTCGACACTCGCTTGATTCGCTGATAACGTTCTAGCTTTTCGTCGCAGGTTCCTCAATTTTTCTCTTTCTCTGTTGTGTACACCTATAAAAGTCGAACAAATTTGCGAGCAACAATATTGCCTCTTCTTCGATTTACGCATTTCTTGCACATCCCACGAAGTAATCATATGCCGATTTCTTTTTCTTCATGTATTTCTCCAACGCAGACTTAAAGTAAAATAGGGCAAGTGTGTTCTCTGTTACCGATATAAACTGCCTTGCAATAAGTATACATACGAATGTGTACATTAGCAACAAAAAAGGGGAAGGATCTCAAACCGAAGTCGAGATCGGTTTCTGTCTTATTCCCTTTAGCGACGGTAAGGATGATAATTGTTGCTGTTCGACGTAGATCCTGTGTAACCCCTTTGGGGCCCACCACCGTAGTTGTCAGTTCCTGGCGCAGCAGGAACGCTCGATCCATATCTGGCGCCTGTATAGAATCGCACAAAAGAACATAGTACTATGTGCCAGGACGTGGCAAGAGGACGTAATCGGAGAAGGTGGTAACATAGAGCAGTGACTCGCGTTATTCTACAACTCAAGAGACTGAGATGATCCTCGATGAAAGATCTGAACATGTGAGAAGCGAAAGAAGCTTAAGTTTTTGCAATCCAAATCAACAGATGATTAAAAATAGATGAAATTTTAATAATGCTATCACCACTGCACTTTAAATTCTTCGGAGATGCATTGGCCATCGATAAAAATCTGACAAAATTTAAGCATTAATAAATTATTAATAATTTAAATAATTTATTAATGTACACGTATTCAAAATTTATTACACTTAATTCAAATAAAAAGATGTCATATTCATGCAATAATTCCAAGTTGTTAAAAGTATCCCTTATTACGGATACATAATAAGAGATATTAGCAATAAGGGATCGTAGCAACTTAGAGGTACAACAATATTTTGAACGTGATATAGGATTGCAAAGAGTTAAGATTATTGGAATTAACTTAAAAAAAAGTTATAACAGAGAATAAAGATGCTAAACTTTCCACAAACTCCAAATCTAATTGATAATGAATATTTTAAATTATATAATTGTCAATTTAATAAAATAATAATTAGAACTTAAGTTTCTTTTTATTATTATCAATAGCATGTGTAATTATAAAGACAGTCTTGATTGAATTAATCTAAGAAATCAATATTACTAGAAAATGAATTACTGAAAGATGAATAACTGTACAAATAAAAAGTATGATCTAAAAAGTATGATCCACGATATGTGAATAAAATGAATAAAACATTACGAGAAAAAATTACACTATGCAAATTCATATTTAATTATTGTACAAGTTAAGTGCTACAGATTCCCAAATACAGAATCACAATTTTATAATAGATTTCATTTAAAAAAAAATTATATGTTCAAACAGAAAAAAAGAAAATATTAAGAGAAGACAAGTAAAAAAAATTAATTGTCTTCTTTTAGATCGCTTGGATTTATAAATATTTAATTAATTCTCTTCTGCAATAATATATCAGATATATAAAAATAGTAACGTGAACAAAATAAAATAAGAACAAAGAGAAGAAAAAATATTTGGAGCAAGCAAAAGTAAAATCTGGACAGGAAACAATCTGAAGGTACTACGTGTAGAATCAGAGAATATATGTCTCGCTTCTGAAACGATCTGAGGCGCAGAATGGATGGATAAATGGATAGATAGATAAATAAACAAATTGATGGATGGATGGAAGGATGGGTGGATGGATGGGTGATTGGACAAATGGAGTTTTGCGGAAGGTAATTTGAAAACTCGAGAGCAAACGGTCTGAATTAATATCACCGACCTATATAGATCTCGAAAGAGGTTTCACACATCTTCTTTCCGTATCCGAGAGATCCGAGCGTGCATCATAACGGTGGCTTTTAGGACCTCCGGACGAGTTTCGGATCGCGACGAGTTCGTGACTAATTTGCAAAAAGGGACGCCTGAAAAACGGGTCAGCTCGTTCGCACCAACTTTACATCTGTTCACGGCAAGGCGCAGGAATAAAACCGAAACGTTCACGCGATTTATCAATTTCTCTTTAACGCTTTCCAATTCAATCTTATTCGTATAAAAAATGTTTGCGCGTTTGGAAAAATATCTCGATCAAATATCGAGTCAAAAAAAAGCGTTCCTTTCTGAAACTAATTCAGCGATATAAATAATTAACAGTCTGTTTAATTAATAATTTATAATCATGATATTTAATCCTTTCGTTTAACTAGAAGCTAAAGAATTTAAAATAATATGTAAAAAACAACAAAAGTGGAATTTTTTTGAAGATCATAATAGATAACGTACTATTATTATTATCATTAGTATTTGCAATTGAAAAGCGTTAAATACATGTTATCTTTTAACGGCTTATAACTTTTAACGTTTCATTACTTAAGACAATTATAGAAACATCGTCACGATTAAAGATAACACATATATATCCATAAAAAAGCGGAACACACCTTAAGACTTACTACAAAGATACCACAGTCTAAAGGTTAAGCGATAAAATTTAATGTTAGCTTAATAATGAAAATCGTACAGCTAACATATGTAACGGTGGCTTAGTTAATCTTACTGTATAAACCGAGCGCACTTATTTCTGACTAATTTAATTAATTAATCCTTACACGGTAATCTTACTGCGCGCCATCTCAATTGCTGGAAATGAGCTTAAAGTCACCGCTATAAAATTAATAAATTGTAATATATAATCAAAACTATGGAGATACAACCGGCACGTAATACGCGCAGAGAAATTCCGGCCGGAAGTTGTGTGAGTCCATTCTTGCACTCATCCTCTCACACTCTCTTTCGTTTTTTTTTTTGCCACTCTTTCGCACTCTTTCTTGCCCTTTCCCGTCTCGCGCACTTAGGAAAACTTGTTTCTCTCAGCCGTTCGGACGACGTCGGATGATCTTTTAGCGTCTATAGGGATGGTAATTCGTGTGTTGGGTCAAGGAGAACCGTTGAGGACCAGGAGCTGCGTCTCCGTTGGGAATGAAGGTAGGACTTCCAGTTTCGACGGTTTTGAATTTGGGAATCGGGAGGACATCTGCGGGGAAAAAAAGGTAAGGAAGATCGTTAGAGCTCGTTTCATCTCTGGGAATACACGTTTCTCCCTCGAGTGCCACTCCTTTGGAGGAAACTCGAGCGAGTTTCGTGCAAAGGATCGAGGATAGTATAAGACAGAATAGGATTAGAGAGGAGAGAAAGTGATGGATAAAGGTTCACGAGCGTTTTCTCTTCGAAGATGGCCTTACTTCAAGTAGTTGAGCACGATCTCATGAAGTTCCTAATTTAACCCTTTAACCGAGTTTTTGTTTTTATAATATTAATACTATAATTATGTATTCTATGTTGATTGCAGCCTAATGATCTAAATCTTATCTAAAATTATTGTTTACGTATATGATAATATGATACGAATTCAAGAGCATCGTGCATTACAATACACACAAATCATCTCTATATCAAATGGCTTATAAATTAGAAATCGTATTATCTAAAAATTTGAATCCTGAGTTTATTTAATTGAAAATTATATATGTATCATTTTGATAACGATGCACTTTTGGACGAACTTTTCATCATCTAAGTATATATATATATATATATGTATATCTACATACGTGTAAGAGTTATATCTACATACTAATTTATGAAACTATATTACGATATTTAACGTATAAAAATTATACGCATATTAAAATTACGAACGCCAGTAAAATACTTTAACTGCCTGCCCGGTTAATGGGTTAATAGATTAAGTATACTTAGAGATTAAGCTTTGATTTATGAACATGTCAACACTAATGATTCAAACAATGCAAAACTCTATTACGAAATCATGAAACAAAAAAAAAAGGACTTTAAAAACTTTTAAAATAAATCTATACTTTATTTCAATTTCATCTTTAAGTAAATATACGGAAATGCTGACATGTCGAATACCAGGCCAACTCGAAACTGAGACTTTTCCGTTGCAACGTAAAAGAATTCGTTATAGAAAAGCAGAAGTTATTTCCAGTGCAACAGCTCTCAATATAGTAATTATTATATAGGATGACACGCCTCAGATTCGAGAGAACATGGCGGGATATGTATGTTGGGACGCGCATAAAACACTGCACTAATTAAAAAGCTTGTCTCCACCGTTTCCGATACGTTCTGAATATATGCGGCAATGAAAATTCAAAGAATCCATTCAATCAATATTTTCTAACAGTGGACCACCTCTGTAATTCCGTTTTCTCATTAACGACAGCAACACCGTGCATACGAAAATTGTCGCGATATCGATTCAATAATTTCCGCATGAAAAGTATGCATAAATTTTTACATCAAAATTCTTATTCCACGTATAAAATATAAATATATCCGTAATATATTGCCTTTCCAATGAAATATTCTTCTATCATATGATGTAGCTGCATTTCAATTGGGCGCATATGATCGCGTATGCACGGTGGAAATTGCAATGCGTAATTGCAAAACAGAAGCGGCAAAAAGAAAGAAGGAGTCATATGGACCGCATGGTGTCGATGGCATTAATCTAAGGGATCGAAGGGAATCGATCGACGGACAGGTGCGCCATCGCAATCATAATTCTAAAAAAACACATGTAATCTCTTTTCTCGCGCACTCGCATGCTCGCTATCATTCGCACCATGTACATTGTATTCGCACACCATGTAATTATATATAATATTAAATTATATATAATTGTTTAAAAAAAAAATTTGTTTTTAATAATATTTGAACTAATCACTGGCACTCACACATACAGTATCCTGCGATAATAGCTCTAAATATGCTAGTACGATCGTCACTAGAAATAAAAATTTATGCTGTGCAGTGTTTTAAGTCTCTCAACCACATGAAGTTATACATAACTACGTAAGGTGCGATCTAATTTAAGTGAAGGGATCGAGATTAGTTTGATTGATAAGAAATTTTTGTTCATCAATATCATTTTCTATTTAATCATAATTTCTCATAATCTATACCAATGTATTTTTATGAATGATTTTCTCTATATTATATCATCATAATAATCAGCATATCAACTTATCATCATTATATAATTATATATATATATTGTGTTGTATATAGATTTATGTATATATAATATTATATATGTCTCATTATGATCATTATTAATATTATTAATATATCTTAAGTATCAATTAATTAATTAATCCACTAGAAACACCGTTAAGCATATTTTATATATATATTATATGTGTGTGTGTGTGTGTGTGTGTGTATTGTGTGTTTAATGAATAATAATAATAGCAGTAAGAATAATCATAATAATAATAGTATAAGTAGTAATTGTAATAGTAATAATAATGGTAGTAGTAATAATAGTAATAATAGTAGTAATAATACAGTAACTATCATAATAGTACTGTTATTTTATGT